TAAAACGTGCCAATTTTTTTTACTACAGAACTTCAGCAAAGTGGTATGTTGGAGAGTATACTCGTAACATTGCATAAAGTGTGTAAACACCGTACGCAAAATGTATGCCGAATTGTGAGTCCATTGTACGGGATGGTGTACTATTGTTTTGAATGTTACGTTATGTTTATATCGATTTTTGTATGTGTACAAAACACTTGGCAGGTGGCAGTGCTATGAAATCATCTTTCTGTTGTACTTCTACCTCGATATCATAATAATTCAAATTTATAATGTCCATCTTAGGTCGTCAACCCATACCGACCGGCTTAACAAAGTATGGTCTCGTAGCCCAGGTGACCTGCAGGGCATGGGGAGGCCCTCATCCAGCAGTGGATTGATGAAAGAGTTGTCCTAGTAAACAATTAGTCTCTTCAAATTTAATCCCAGAATATTGTATCCATTGTGTGCACAATATATATTTTTTTTACAATGCCGTACGTGAAGGGCCAATATTTGCTGTACTTTGTCAGGCCAGAGCTGAATGAGGGCCTTCCCATGCCATGCTGGTCGTGAGAGTGATTTCACCTTACTTCACCAAGCTGCTCAGTGTGGGTTTGTAAATTGCCAGGAGCATAGTAACACAGTACAAGGGATTTTTGATGTATTTCCTTGTGCTGATAATTAACCACGTAGCCCCACAGCCTATAACACCGGTTATTCATTGTGGTCGCCCATTCAAGTACTGTTCAGGAACAAACACGCTTAGCTTCTAAGATCGAATGAGATCAAGCACATTGCGGGTGACTTAGTCACAGGCTTCGCAAGGGACAAAGCTATCCAAATGAGTTCGCATCTAGTTGTGTAAAGTGTCACATGTATGCAGTATTAGTCTGTATATGCAGTACAGTATATTAGTATATATTCCAAGAAGCCAACTTTCTTGAAGAGCGAACTGACACTTGAGTACCAAACATTTAGACAACGATTATTGAGGTTATTTGATTAAACTAATTGCAAAAGAGCGTTTTTGTTTGTTTCAACTTACAGTTCAGCGTTGCGACAGAAAGCTAAGCATCATTCCTTAGGTGACGCATCTCTTGACATTTCTGGAAACGTTGGCATTCTTTCGGTGTGATTGCATCATATTGAGCAGCATTTGTTGTTTTCTGCTTGTTTGGCGGACAACGGTTTGGTAACCTGTGATATCGGCATTGCACATCGCTCCTGAGACACAGCTAATTGCAACGAAATTTTTTTTTCCGTGTTTTTGAGCCAGGCTTTGTGGGTGACTCACACCGTTGTTAATACAGCTCTACAGAGGCAGGGGTTTGTGGATCACGCAGTTTTATCACACTCCACGTGTAGCCAGTGGGTATGTGAATCTATCTGTTTCGACTTTTGAGTTATCCCCTGATATATATATAGGTTTTCACTGGATGCGCTGGTTCTAGATTTGAAGTTTTCGTGACTGCAAGGATTCATAGTCTTTGGTTTTTTCGGTAAAGTCACGTTGGTAAAAAATTAAAATAAATTAAATCACGACGTTTCGGACGCAACACAAGCGTCCTTCTTCAGGTGGGGACAACTTAGCGAAGGACGCTTGTGTTGTGCCCAAAACGTCGTGATTTTATTTATTTTAATTTTTTACCTACGTGACTTTACCGAAAAAAACAAAGAGTATGGATGCGCTGGTGTTGTGCTCCCATGTGGAATTGGCCAACATCCCAATGTAGGACCCTGCTGAAATGTTGATATTCAGTGAGGCCATCCTGGATAAATAAATGACATACTAAGGAATCGGCATACAATGTTTGATTTGTAATGCAGTGAATCCCTCGTGGTGGTGATTGAGAGAACACTCTTGGTCAATCCTATTATTTGGGTTAACCTGCGGAAATTGTGGGTTTGTGCAGTTATCCACAGATAAACATGGCTAATAGGATTAATTTACCACTTTTCGGTCACTCCTGTTATTTGCAAAAAGATGCGGATAATGGGATAAGTTTAGAATTTGCGAGAGACCAATTGAAATGACTCTTGCATAAATGTGGATAACTGGATTAATTACTCGCCATTTACAAGTCATTGTCTTATCCATAAAAAATGTGGACAACATGAAGAAATCTCTTATAGAGTGTGCGGGCACGACTAATTGGCCAAGCAGACAATCATATCTCGGATAAGAGGAGTTTCACTGTGGATGCAGTCGATACATTCAGATACCCAAGTAAAAATTGTGTCGGTATGTTAAGGCGATGTGGCGCACTAGTTGGTGCACTAGTTGGCGCACTGCATTACGAACCCGGCTACCCAAGTTCCGAGTTGAAATGCCAGCCACGGCTAACATCAGTGGCGAATGATATTTGACTTGTTCTTTTCTCCCCCCCCCCGCCACCACCTTCTCCTTCAACTAGCATTGATCAGCGTTGTAAAGCGTGTTCAAACAACTCCCGTGGCCGCCTCGACGTGGGGAGGACTTCGTCTAGCAGTGAATTGACAAAACGGGCTGTAAATGACATCATTATATTATATTGAACCACCCTCATGGATTGTATTCGCTTCATACGGCTTATCAGCTCGCCAGTCATGCGTTGCGAACGAAAACGCCACTGATGAAGGCAGTGCCAAAGATTTGAGCAGTTCAGAGGAGGCTGCGAACAAAGCTGACTTATTTTTTTGGAGGGCTCGTGTTTTTGCCCGACCCTTATTTTGCTCACGGCAGCGGTTTCGCACGAGCCGCGAAGCCCTCAAGCAACAGCCCACCGCTCTGTTTGAGGATTGTGCTGCCAAGCGCTAACCACGCTCCCGCTGGCCTTGGCCGCAGCGACGTTTCAGCCGTCGTGCTGCCGATTATGTTACCCTATCGCCAAATTTTGCCTTGGGTGCCGAACTGCACGTAAGCGTGCAGCGGCGCTCCGCCCTGTTTTGGTGTCAACTGGCCCACGGTAATGATGTTTTTATTAATAATTTTCATTTTAATACCTTAAGCTGTTTATTGCATGTTGTTGCACAAGGGCTGAGGCACTGTTTCTCAAAACAGCGTGGAAGTAAACACCTATAATAAATAATGATTTGCAGCGCCTATGTCAATCAACTGCTGAATGCAAGCATTCTTTTACCATGTTGCTCATGGGGGTTGTATGACCAATACTTGACTGCGCTGATTAGAGCATGTTGGTGAACGGGTGGTTAAGACCAGTCAGAAGGCACGTATTACAGGTTAGCAGTGGCTGGTAATCGAACTCTGGTTACCAAAAAACATCTATAATGTATAGTACACAGGCATAGCTTTTTCGTTCTTCTTTCGCATGGCTGTTTTAGATGCAGAACAACAACTACAATTTCACACACGGTGGTCAAGCCAGACAACCGCGTCAGGAGCGACAGAGTGGATCGCTACGATGTCTCCTTTGTATTTGCGGATCGGGAATTGCGTCGTTATATATTGTACGGTCTGTTCTGGATGACCACAGTCGCACACTGGAGAATTTAATTTTTTTCCATTTGTGCATCAGGTGTCCCCATCTGCCATGGTTTGTGCAGATGCGGTTTAGGGTGGACCATGAGCTCTGTAGAAGATCAAACCCAGGGTTCTTCTACGTTGGGACTTTCACAGGCATAGCTGAAGACTGGTGTCTATATCTACCGACAATTTCAAAATAGTATCTAGTGGGAAGACGAGTTAACCAAGCATATAAAGGAGAAGCAGTGCGGTAACCGGCAGCTTGTGTTTGAGGATGTCAGAATGCTCAGAATTGGGTAGTGTGCGGTGCCGCATATACACAGCCGGTGTAACTGTGCGCGGTGGTTGTTGATGCGTTGGAGATCATAACGGTGGCTCGCGTATAGAGTTGCCGAGGCAGAAACTAAACACAGTAGAGGGGCGGTTGAAGTGTGACTGGCTTGTTGTTCTCTCATGCAGCCCTTGAGATCAGGGGAGTCGAAAGGATAGGCGGTGATAATGGGCACGCAAAGGCATTGTCCTTTGTAATGGGAGTGAACTATCACAAATACACTTTAAACAAAGCCCGTTTGTTCGTTATTTTTTAATAGTACATAATTATTTAGCATTTTCAATTGCAGCATAAGCCATTGAAATATCCCATAGGAGCCGCATAATTATATATATCTTACCCTACAGGATTGACTACTTAAGAAGATGGTTTTTGTCCTTGATGGCTTAATTGCTGATTTGTTTAAATGCTCGCTAATATGTCGACGTAAGGGTAAATCTTGTTTACTGCAATTGTAAATTAGATTTTCACTTCCAAAGTCATTTAGTGGTGCAGTCATTTAATAGTTAAAGTATTTCAAAATAACCACTTATCCTTTAATTGTGACAAAATAAGGCAATTCATACACAAAATTACGTATAAAACTAAATATTCCACTTTGCACTGAGATGCACCACGCCTTGGTGTTTTCCATCAGCTGATGACTTGATTCATTTAAATGTATACTCAATTTATGCGGCACAAATTGTCTGTACATCATGTGCTATCCTTTGATCGTGTCTGCAATCTTAATTCTGCATAATGGACCACACAAGTCTATCAGCATTGTAAAAAATGGCTGTTTTGTCACCAGACAAAAGTCTGAAAATAAATTGCGCTTTAAGTTTTGTGCACACAACATTTGACTTTTTGCTGAATTGCATTTTGCCATGTTTGCGCAAATAGGGCAATAAGGAAGATTACCTATTTAAGGAGATAAACACCTGCAGCAGTGGCCTTCCTCAGCTCTTAAATGTTGAACTTTGTGATTAGCTCGCTTGCTTTTTTGGTTGTTGATTTGGAATCTTTTGCTCCTGGGCTAATCTCATGCCCCTCACATGACTCCCACTCTGATTACCGCAGACTGCTTTGCTTGCACAACCCTTGGTATCGTTCTCACTAAATGGCCGCACTGTTCGCCTGCGAAAGCAGTGGGAGGGGTGGCGGGGCTGTGGTGGTGAAGGCGTGCACGTTCGCCTAAAACTTTTCTATCCACGTTGGGGTCGACGCTTGTTTTTTCACGCTGCTCAAGCCACAACTTCGCTCGGCGATTGGGTCCAGGCAGGTGTTGCGGCGCTACATGATAGCTCGCCCCCAAAGCCCCGCGGTGGCGGGCCAGTGCCAACGGCCTTAGCCGTGAAGCAGGCCGCTTTGCTCGGTGCGTCGCGGAGAGTTACATGTGCGACCGCGGTGGCCCGACGATGCAGTGGGCCTCCGTGGAGGGCACAGAGGCGAGCCAACCGCTGCCCACCGGCGCTGCTCGAGGTCACTTGAATTTGCCCGACTCGAGTGAGCTGGTGCTGCGGTGCAGGTCTCTGACTCCGCCAGGTAAGGCTCTGGGTGATCACGGCCGCCGGCGATGGGAAGCGGGGTGGAGGTGGGGTGGGTTTGGCACTGTGCTAAGGCTACCCCGTGCATGTGTGATCATTTTGTCGACAGGTTTGGACAAGACAGGTTTGCTAAGTAGGTCTGTGTTTTACAACAACAAAAACACATTTTGCCATCATGTGTGGTCGTGTGAGTAGCGGCAGCAGCCTCGGATAATTTTATTTGCTGCCTAAATTATCAAATGATGAAAGAGGTTTTTCAGAATAAAAAAAGGAACCGAACATATATGCACATGTTTTGTAATGTTACCTGAAGGGCTTTTTGTCATTAAAGCATATCAACATTTTAGGTTGTAAAATGCAGACCCTGCATGCACATATATCCACATAAAAGGCAACACAACCACTGAAACATTTATTTAATTTAAAACTAAAGTTTGAATAATATTTGAATTCATGTTTGGAGGAGAGATTTTCTTTCACTGTCTCACCTCCATGAAAGGGTTTTGGAATATGGCCTTCAGCAGACTCGCTATTTTGAAAATTGGTTTTGCATTTTTGCCCCTTTGGGCCAATATATTTGTGTGTATTTGTAGTTTTATGTGTTATGGAATGATGACAAAATAGCTTTCACTGATACAAGGCAAAGGTCCCCCGTACAGCCTTAACAGACTTTTGGAGCAAGTGCTGTTAGTGAGCACCTATGAAGGCCAGTACGGCACACGAGGGGGTGGGTGGCCAGCACCACGCCTGGCTACCTTTATCTCCCGAGTGATGGTGTTCACACACTATACACCAGTTACTCATTTGAGGCTGAGTCTACCTAGGGGATGCCCAGGACTGGTTCTTATCATCGTTACTGCTGTTGGCCGTGAGTCGGAAATCGAACTTGGGTCACAGGGTTCGCAGTGCACCGCGCTAGCCGCTACATTACCGCTGGCACTGATGCACAACATCAGTAACAGGTTATAATCTGCACTTGATCTGTGCCACGTTTAGGTTGACTCATTTACCTGGTTCACCAGTGTAGTTGACATCAACACCGACGGAACAACAGTGACCTCCCTCCAATGGCAATGCCGTGCTCGCCCTAAAATACGTTGGAAAACCCAATTTTCTCTGCAGAGCTAAACCTGCAGTTAGTTGTCCCCCCCCCCCGCACCTCCGATTAGCGCGATTGGCTACGTGCCGTGCGAAAGAAGTTCAACATACACACGTACATGCAGTTCTTTGTCGTTTTATTTCATTTTTGTTGCGTTCCTTTCTCTCCCACAATTCCCGGCAGTGGGGGACTTTGGGCGGGTGTGGCGCGAGCACTGCGCAGATGGCGAGGCACTCAGCGAGTACGCCAGCGCCATGCGCAGCCTGGCCAGGGAGCACTGGAGCCAGCGCCGTGAGGGGGAGAACCGCATCGACTGGTGCCGCAGGTCAGCTGGTGCACACGCGACAACAAGGGGGCCGCCATTCTCGGCGGGATGTTAACTACCTCGCCTGGTATACAAGAGCATCATGGGACCTCCTTTACCAGTACCAAAATATACTAATCGGGTTTTTCCCCTTTTTTCTGGCAACAAAACTGACACCTTTTGCAAGGACTCATGCTTACATTAACCACAATACTGGTGTGGACCAATCAGTTTCAAAGACGATGCATAAATTATCAGAGTATTGTTTTTTGTTTGCATTTGACTGCAAGTATTGTGGTTAATGTAAGCATGAGTCCTTGCAAAAGGTGTCAGTTTTGTTGCCAGAAAAAAGGGGAAAAACCCTATTAGTATACAGGAGGTCGTGGATTCGATCCCCCGACCCCAATGTCTGTGTATTTGGAGTTTTCGGTGTCTCTCTCTCCCTGTGGTCGTGTGATTTTTTTTTCTCCGGGTCCTCCGGTTTTCCCCTCCACATTTAGAATAAATGTTCGTTTAGAGTATTTGGCTGCTTTAAGGTTCCACGTGACAAGCCACTTCGTTGACCTATCATTTGTGATAGCCAGATCGCTTTTGAAAAAGAGTTATCTAGCCCAGTGGGCTTTATCAGGTAAAATAAAAAATAGTTTAATAGTTTAAACAACTGCTACAACAGCCACGGTTTGCCACTTATTGTTTATTTGTATTTAATATTATGCTTGCTTACCCACGTGGGTCCTGCCAGGTATCTGCACTCTGTGGGGGGGTTTGCAGGGGTGGGTAATGTTGCTGTGTCTAAGGCCCCCAACAACCTAGTATTCATCATAGAAAGATAGATAAAGTTGTGCGCTTACCAACGTAATGGAACGCCTGTCCCTGCGACTTGTTGATTGTGATAGCATATGCGGGGAGAATGGGAATTTGTCGTCGTCGCAAAACAAATGGCAAAGTAGTGTCGATGGGGACCAAGTTGATTTTGGGAATCAACACCGAATCGCTTCGTTCTCTCTGTCTCTCTCAAGCGTTCATCATATTCATCAGACAGATAGAGAAAGTTGTTTGTATATAAATATAATTTTACATCTGGAAGACTTAATTGAAAACGACATTTTGTGTGAATTTTCTCTCGTCATTAAGTAGATGTCCTTGCTGGGGTTCGGTTCGATGCGGACTTTCACCTGGTTGGGATTGCGGGATCGAGATAAGGCGACATAGAGCTTGCCGTGCGCAGATCAATTCCAACGTAATCGAACGTCTGTCCCGGCGCCTCCGTGATTCATGCACGGGGCGTGGAGGTTTGCAACGCCCCCTGCATGAAAATGACGGGAAGGGCAGCGTTCATCATATTCATCACAGATAAAGTTGGCCGTTTATATTATTTGAGTAATTTGCAGATAAGTTTTTGAGCATTGCATTTTTTTCCATAACAGTGTTTGTTTTTGGGTTAGATCACGTGAATATAAATGTGTCGTTAACCCGCCACTAACCCACCCGCCACAGGCAATTAGTAAGGTTTGTCACGTAAACAACACATTCCTGCGGAGGGAGCTGGTAGGAACGTTGGGTTGCTCGGTCAATGGCCAGGGTCAACGGCGGCGTGGTGTATTCCGCAAATATGGCCGACTGTGAGGGCGGGCACAAGCCGGCGTGAGTAGGTTAAACGTTGAGTTTTATAAGGGCACCACGGGGTGATCAGCCCCACCCCACCCAGCCCCACCCCTCCCACCCTCCACCCAGCCCCACCCGCCCCACCCAGCCCCTCCCCACCCTCCCCACCTAGCTTCTCCCCACTCTCCCCTCTCCACCCAGCCCCACTCCCATTTTTGGATGCACGACGGACAGACACAATAATCCCCTGTGGGCTGGTGTAACTAGGAGGTTCCTACCAGTAAAACGTGCCAATTAGTTACTACTACAGCACACTGCTGTGTTGGAGAGTCAACTCGCAAAATCTACAATTTGCGAACGACGTTTCACTGGTGATTACAATCGGCTTTATCGGGCGGTTTGTGCTAGGCTAGGTGCGCTTTGGGGCCACGTGAAGCAGACCTGGGGTCAACTTCATTTGTAATTTGTAATGCGTAATGAATTACAATAAAAATGTAATTGTAATTTCAGCTGATAGCGCTGCTGCAAATGTAATTATAATAGGCCTCAGGTGTGACATGAAGTGTCACAGGCTCTCTCGCAGAAGGTCATGAGATAGACCCACCCCCTCCCCCCGGTGTTATGGGTAACTGACAAATATGATTGTGCTCGCCACTGTCCCGACTTGTATTTTAGCTCGCATATAAACACACATATGCCCGTATGCACATACATTCTGATGTGTTACGGTTTGTGATGGAGTCTTGGCGCGGTTGTTGGCACACTGTGCTATGAACCCAGCGACCCATGTTTTTGAGTCCCAATTATGGATGGCATCAGCGGCGAATCATATCTTGACTGGTTCTGGTCATCCCCCCTCACCAACCCGCTCTGTCCAGCAGTGGCGATGCGATGGAGATGCGTTACGACGACCCCATCGTAAGTCGAAAATATCGTAAGTCGAAGATGGCCTAGCCTACCCAGGAGTCTTAAAGAATGGTGATAATTTAGCTAAACAGAGACATTTATCGTGGTAACCTTAAAATGAAATCGCTAAAGCTACGTATCATACATGCATTGAACGTATCGTAACGTATCATATTGTACTGTACTCGCCAAGATTCTGTCCGTCGTCTGCATACTTGAACGATGTTAGGTTGTTGATGGCAATTTTGTCATATCGCCATCGTAGGATCGAAATATCGTAAGTCGGACCATCGTAACTCGGGGACTACCTGTATAGTCAAACAACCCCCATGACTGACATGGTGTGGGAGAGGCTTTCATCCAGTGGCGGATTGAGAAAGGGCTGTGAATGTGACTGGTTTGCTCCTTTCGTATCTAGGGATGAATTTTAACGATTTGGGAGTGGAAATTTAATTGAAGAATCAATTATTTTTTGTCTTGTTTTTGCTGCATTGTTTATTTTTTTTAGCGTGTGTACAGTTCTGTTCACTTCATCAGTCTAAATGTAACATTAGGGTGAAACCTTAAATAGCAGTAAGTAATTGAGTCTAGCTGGGCAAGATGCAATGAATGTATCGTGAGAGTAGGAATCGATTTTTAAATCGAGTCTTAAGCTCTTGTGCCTCAGTAAGCACATGCGATTGTGTGCGTGAGCATATAATATTGAACAATTATGCAAATTACGAGAAAATGTTATGTTTAGGATAATCCCATCAAGACATAGCTGGGCAATACAGATATAAGCAAGAAAGTTTAAACAAGACACACATTTATAGATTCTTTAACTGTGTCTCATCTCTGAATCGTGACACTTCATAAAATGTTGTGGATGGGTGAAGCCATTCGTTTCAAACGTGCATGATTACGGGGAGCGGTGGCATAGTGGTTAGCGCACTGAGCAAAGGTCTCTTGCCAACATGATCCCTGGCCGTGAACGACACCAGTGGCACACGTAATCTTGGCGCTGCCAATGTGTACTCCACATTCACATGAGCGTTTGGTGCCGTGTTTAAAGATAAGCACTGGGGCAACAAAGGCATGGTATTCGCAAAACTACCCCCTTCAAATGCCTTCGTACGTGCGCACGAACACTTGCGTAACTGACAGATGACTAGCATATATTGCTATATTGCAAAAAGAGTTTCTTTGTTATGTTGTACTGTAAGTTTATTTAGTTTAGTTAACCATTTGCCAATCCCTTGCAGGATGAAGGTTTATTCACACAGTCATTCACGAAGGCTTGACTGGCCGTACCTTAACATGCTGGGCAGTGCAGGTTGGTGAAAGGGTCAGTTGGAGGGCAGGAATGAATTGGATATCATTCGCCACTAATTTTAGCCTTGGTCAGGAATCCAACTCAGGTCGCCAGGTTCATAGCACACCGAGTATAATAACATAATAATAACATTGGTATTATTAGACGGGGAGTTTAATAGCCCTCCATTTAGGCAGAACGTTCCCAAATATATCTGAAGATTTTTTTTCCCACACTGTTCCTTTTTGGGAAAATTGGCCTCATTCCTATTATGTTTTTTATGTAATTTTGTTGTTTATTATGAGTAGCCTTGAAATTGATTAACCTTAGTTGTTTACCGTTTTTGGTCGTCTGTTTCACTGAGTCGCCGGGTACGTCCATTTTGACTGGCGGGGGCAAGACGCTTTCAGCGATGCATCGCCAGGCGTGTTAATGCTTGAGAAAAGTTTGCTTTTTTTGTCGAGCCGTTTTAAAATTTTCCAAGCGGCACGCATGATTGGCGAATCGAGAGGTTGAGTGATGGAAAAAGTTGTCAGCGATGCGCCACACATCTCTTGAAGATCGTTAGCGTTGCGGTCGGAATTATTATTCTGAATGTCAGTCGCCATCATTGTCGTCATCCTTTCAGCAGCAACTTAACTCCAATTAACCTCCTCCCTACCGTCTCCCAAAATTAATGGCACCTAACTTTTGTGAATGGTACACAGTTTTGATTGCCATTAACATTTTTAATGGGGGTAATTTCTTATCCATGTGCACGACGATGGGGGGGTTGAATAATTTTAGAAAGTAGTAAATACCATAAGCACAGCTTAGTAGGGATCTTCATGTTCCTGGAATTATTGTAGTTTTACGATTTTAATAACAATGAGGTGGGTGCTTGTGATTAAGAATTAAACAGGAATGCACATTAAACCGTCGTTGTAATGCTTCAACACAACCATTATTTCATGTCTTGACAGCGCACTTTTAAAAGACGCTAAACTTGGTTGCATGATATGGAAACGCCAACTGCGGCGCTACGGGCATATCCTTGGTTTGACCCCAGAGCTAGAGAATCACTTTGACCATTACGTGTTGAGACTTATGAGGGTAGGAAGGCAGCTCGCTCGGGGGCTTGCCAGCAGCGGTGCTTTCGGGGTTGATGCTAAAGGGGTGGATGGTGCTACGTGCTTGCTACGCGTGCAAGGAATCGGGCACAGTTCGTCAAAGATTT